CCCAAATTGATTTTGAATTTCAGCGTGGAAGGTCTGGAAAATAGAAAACAACTCAGATCAATTCATCATCAAAAATATCCAAGTGCACCTGGAATAATCATCAATGACACTGACAAAGTAGCGGAATCCCAAGGTAGAACTGACCCGACTAGGACCACAAATATCTGAATAGACTAAAGTAAAAGGTGACTTTGCTCGATTATCGAGACGCCGAGGGAAATGGGAGCGGGTATGCTTACCGAGCTGATATGACTCACACTCTAGAGTGGACAAGTGAGATAAACCAAGTACCATTTTCTGAAGTTTTGACAAACTGGGATGTCTCAACCGTTTATGTAATAAATCTGGTGAATCGGTAACTGGACAAGTTGTTGAAGGAAGACAAGATGTGAGTCCATGTGATTTTGCAAGGATAAGGTAATAAAGTCCATCTGATTCACGCCCGGTACCAATGATGTACTGCGTTCCTATATAAAAACAAGGTCATCAAGAAATAAAACAGAGCATTCAAGTGATTTGGCTAAGCGAGTAACGGCTATGAGATTAAAAGGACTACCGGGAACATAAAGAACTGAATCTAAAGGTAAGGAAGGAAGTGGACTTGCTTGACCTATTCTGGTTGCCGTGGTTTTAGACCCGTTGGCCATTGTGACTGTTGGAAGAGATTGAGAACATGAAATAGTAGTGAAAAGAGATTTGTTACCAGAAATATGATCAGATGCACCTGCATCAATGACCCAAGACTCAGAGGTTGAAGATTGGGAGACACAAGTCACGCAACTATATGTTTGAACAACGAAAGCTATCCCTGAATATGTTTGTTTATATGTTTTGTACTGAAGGAACTCAATATAATCCGGTATAGAAACCATCCAACCATTCATACTATTGGATCCCATTACGCTACAATTTATTTCTAAAAATCTTGACTAAAAGTAGTAGGGTTAACTTGAAATAGTGAAAATCAGTAACTCCTACGGTAAAACTGAAGAAATAGCTGGGAAAATATTGTTCACAACAGAAAAACAGAACACTATTTTCACGCCGGAACACTGTTCACGCCGGAAAATACTGTAGCTCGCCGGAAAATTCTAAAGTTGTCGGAATTTGTCGGGAATAGCACTGGTCGACTCGGAATCGCTGTGCGAGTAAGCTTTCCTGAAGGAAGTTCGTCGGAATCTGGCTTGAAGGGGTCTCACGCTCCCGGCGCGTGCACAGATCTCGCCGGAAATTTTGGAGTCTGCCCGGCGCGTGAGGGCGCGTGGGTGTGAGTTTTCCGGTGGGATTTTCTGGGGTTTGGTCGCGGGACTACGGCGGACCTTGTGGTGGTGTTGGTTTGTACAACACTAATAAATAGTGACTTTGACGCAAACAATCACTTAGGTCACCGGAAAATTGCACGGTGATTGAGTTCTTTCTTCCCGGATATCGCTGGAATGACGCACAACGATCTTTTCTCACCGAAACTCTGATACCATGTGAGAAAGCACGGGAGAAAATATTATTAATTATTTAAAGTATTGTACAACGCCCTATTTATATACAGTGATTACATAATAATAGGTATCTACTTCCCGATGTGGGACACTATACATGACTAACTACTTAACACAATCCACCAGCACGACCTCATTATTCCAGCCATTATTAACCATGCTATATTTGGCAATCATTACCTTCCTATATAACATTTTCCCCATGGGGGAATCTCCACAACCATTTTCTTCAACTTTACATTAAAAGGTAAAAATTCTCTATTGGTGTTACATGTACAAGTTTATGGGAGAGGATGCAAATCACCTATTGGTGCACAACCAAGTAGTGAATAAGCCATGGGGGAAGCAGTGGTGATGTCAGCACTTCAGCTATGGTTAAGGATGTCATGTTCAGTTGGGCATTCAGATGTAGGAAAAGAAAATGGCGGGCACAGAATGTAGCGCCACTCACACTCATATGGGTTCTTTCGAGGGAGAAACAGGAGAGCTTTTGAGGGAGCGAAAAATACCTTTGTACAAATAAGGGCAAATTTTTGTTTCTTTTACACTTTTGGAGCACCCACGAGATGCTAGTCAGTATAGATGAACGGGTCTCTTTATACAGAACTTGATATTTGTATAGATTCTCTACCACTTGTATCGACTTACCCCACTATATCAATAAGATTATTACCTTGTAAAAAAGAGAAATACACCGTATCCGTAAGCTCCCTTCTGTCAACAGAAATGCAATTCTCTTCCAATCTACCAAATAGAATTTCTATTCCCCCTCATTTCTTCCTACAAGAAATCCCTTGGCATCTACTCTTGTCTAACCGAAATGGCTCTAGGCATGCAAAACAGAGACATAAAATTAGTGGGGATGTTAGATAAGTTGACTTAATCAACATGACGTTGATATGAGGTGTATGATACTGCTCTTTACCCCAAAAGATAAGGTGTATGATACTGTCAAAAGCACTTGTTTCCTAAGAGAAGCTACAAGCAAACATCAGACGAACTATATCATAAATAAGATGAGTAAGAATAAGTCCAATCACAAGTAGCCTCAAATGCAAACTGCAATAACCGACAAGCAAGAATGCTAAGCTAACATGTGACAATATCTTTTTTTTTTTTAATGACCAAGAAATCCATTGGGCAAACCCTCAGGAACAGCTGCAACCTTCGCAACTCGGGAACAATGGGCCGCCCCTCTAACCTTCTCCACTTATATACCATACTTAGTTCGCATGACATAGGGTTCGAATCACAAGTCCTTCAACCTTTGCCACTTGAACTAAGCCCTGGGGCAACATGTGACAATTTCATTGCAGGCCCAAATTGATAAAATTCAACTAAGTCACCAGTCTAACACTGAAGCTTAGTTCTAAATATACATCTCCAGGGGTTAAATATATAATTTTCTTAAACGGAGTATACCTTCTCACAGTACATCAGAGATCATCACCCCATAATGTTTGATAATGTTTGTCTACCTATCTAAATATACATAGAATGTACCCAAACTGATGATTGAGTGAAAACATCGCTCAAGGAAAAGTACAACCAATCGAATAATCCATATATCATTTAGCAAATAACAAAAGAAGAAAGAATTTGATATGCACCTGAAGTGAACATTCTCAAATTGAATGCTACCCCCACTTAACTTAAGAGGTTTCGCATCGTTTGCATCTCTGATTTGAGCTCTTTCCTGTACATATTATTCAAAGATCTGCTCAAAACAATTCTACATATGCACAAGACATATAGAATATGTGCGCAATCTATTACTATCACATAAATGAATAAATGCTATAGCAGAAAAAATGGTTCCTCCATGAGTGTCTAATGTCTTTCTGGTGTTCTTTTCAATGCTTATGAAATGATGGTTCAGTTTTGCAAGGACGTGCCATGGCAGGAGGAGTAAATGTGTTTGTGGCCAAATCAAGGTCTACTATCAGAGTGACACTAACAGTGCCGGATAAAGAGATATGTGGATAGATGTTTGGAGACTGAACGTTTAACAATTGTATCCATGGAGACTTCGGCACCATCTTGGTGCACATTAATGGAGCTTCTCTTGATTTATCAAAAAGAATACTGAACAAGATAATGATCAACGCAAAAGAAGGGCATTAGTGTACCAATCCTTGTTGACCAACAATTGCTTCCTAAAAAAGCTGAAAATAATCCTAATATATTGCAAGTGGACACATCTGATAATTCAGAACATACTAATCCCCTCATAATACAATGACATTTATCATTTCGATAAGTAGTTATGCAACTAATTTTTAAAAAAAAAAGATAACTTCATTTTATAGCAACTTCCATTTTATTCTGAAAGTGATGAAATTATGCTTGGCCTCGAGAGATCATGCTCTTTCAACATTTCGAGCTACTCAAGTTCGAGAAGAATATTATCAGTCAGCAAGGAAAGAAACACAAGAGAGAGACAGGATTTATCACAGAAAGACTGGACGAAATAGAAGAGAAGATAGCGGTTGGTACCACAACATACAAGATGGACCAAGAAGAAATTACTCCAGAAAAGAGCCAACTTTATCATCATTCAGATCCCATCCTGACTGGGTAAGAAAATTATGATGTTTGTATGTCCAATTCTCTTAACCTGCCGATATAAAGAAGCCTGACCCCTAGACGCACAATTTCTCATGAGGTACAATATCTCATTATGAACTTAGGAAGCAAGAGCACAACATTCTAGAGGCATCATCTGGACCACAAATCTTACAACATTTGCAGATTATCTTTCGGCTACAAAGTTTGATGTTACTTGACAACTGTTTCCTCTATAATCTTTCACATAACACAAAAGTATTTAGCAAGTGAAACAAAACAATGAATGATATCATGGAAGCTAGCTGATACCTCTAGCAACTGAAACATTGATTTCATGTCCACTAGACTTTGGACAGTTTCACGATATACGCTACCAAGGAAATTCAGTGGAAGAGATAGCTGGAACAGCAGCCCATTTACCATGACCTATCAAAATAGTAATATTTTCTATTAGGGTGCTAGCACTGCAGAGAAAATAATCACTCAGCTAAAATAATTGGAGAAAAAGTTTTACCAAGTCACCAACAGTCATGACGCCATTCATAATCCCATTAGAACATAAAACCATAGCAGCTGAGAGAGCTATGCTGAATATTGCATTTTGCCCAAAGTTTAACATTGCCAGACTGCGTTGTGTCTTTAAGGCAGCATCTTCATATCCTGGAGACAACCACATAATATCATGATTGCTTATTCAGAAAAAAGAATGGGGAGGAACAACACAACATAAGTTTTGTATGTCAAAAGCCGGCAAATATATCATAGTTTTTGAACCACTGGGAGAAAGCACGTATTCTTCTGCCACCTCATTGCTAGATTCCAGAGCAAAGTGTGTACACTCACAGTGAAGTGAACCCATGTTTTTCTTTTTCTGATAAGGTGAAGCAAACCCATGTTATGTTGAAGGGAAGCCATATAAACATGGTACCGCCACTCTGTGAAACTTAATAAAGGACAATGATTTCTGTTTTTCTTTATCATGTAACTCTAATCATTCTAAAATTCAATGATTACTCCTGAAATTTACTTTTAGACTAATTGCCAACAAACCACGTTGTGTCATTCTTACCAGTATTGCTAGTAGTATTCTTGTATTTCTTGTTGTTAGATCTTTGTTGTTACTGATATATTTGTCTCTTTTCGTCTTCTTGAGCCGAGGGTCTTTCGGAAAGAGCCTCTCTACTCCCTCGGGGTAGGGGTAAGGTCTACGTACTCACTACCCTCCCCAGACCCCACTTGTGGGATTTCACTGAGTTGTTGTTGTTGTTACACGTAGTGTCTTTATTTTTATTTTTTTCCCTTGTTGTTGTTATTGTTGGTTGCTTCTTGTTTAGTGTTTCTTAAGTCGAGGGTCTATCGGAGACAGCCTCTCTACCTTCACAAGGTAGGGATAAGGTCTGCGTACACACTACCCTCCCCAGACCCCACTTGTGGGATTACACTGGGTTTGTTGTTGTTGTTGTACTAATTGCCAACAAAACTGTGTTAAATGTTATCACAGTTGGTGCAATCTGATTCACCCAACGTATACACAACTTACACCATAAATTAAGAGCGCAGAAGAGCTTAAGAAATGACAAAAGAAAAGTCATAAGGCAATACGACTTACTCTTTAAAAAGTGATCATACTTCTCAGCTTCATAGACCTCATTGTTGAAGTACTTAACAGTCTGGAAAAAAATGAGTAGGGCCAGCACAATCAAGTGTATTGCACATAAACAGATAAGCTAATCTTGGTATAAAGGAACACAAGCTTACCTCATAATTGATAAGAGAATCTATTGCTCTTGTGCTTGCATCATTATCAGCTTTATTCATCTCCTTCCTAAACTTAGTTCGCCACTGCAAGATACAAATGAAGAGGAACTTTGAAACAAAAGACTTGAGAGCTGGACTCACTAAAAGTTACTGATATATCAGTTATCACCTAGCTACCACTGCCAGTATGACAAATGAACAATTCAAAGAGGAAGAACAGCATGAAACCCAAAATAACAGACAATGCCAAGACAAAGAATAGATGGGTTTCAGCAAGTAGATAACCTGGGTAATACTCAAGGTGAAGGCAATATATGCAGCCACTGACAGTGAAGTGATCCATGCAAAGGGTGCTCCAAACTTGTATGCAAGTATACCTGATACCATTGATATCTGAAAGGGTTCATGTTAATGTAGTTGGAGTAATACTTAAAAGCAACATAACTAAGTAGGACTTTTTTCATCAAATAAAAAACTGCCTTGAATGATGGAATGAATAAATTTATATACCTCTAATATTGTTGGGAAAACATTGAATACCATGGATGAAAGAATAAAATTGATAGCTCGGCTACCACGGTCAATAATCCGATTAAGACCACCCGTTTCTCGACTGCAGGATGCAAGAAGAATATAAAAAAAACTCTATCACACTCAAGCAAACCACCTTCTCAATATCACAGCTGATGGCATAAAATTTTAACTAGAATAACATCAAAAACAAAGTATAAACAATCTCAGCCATAAGCATCTTATTTGGGTGACATGTGGTACCCTTTCACCTGCATCCTTTGCATCACGACAGACTAAATCGATATATAACAAAGCCACAAACAGAGGAAGCCTGACATAGAATTGAACAGAACCAAGTCCACAGGATAAATAATCAAATGGGTATGACTTATTTTGAATGATGGAGCTAAAACTCGGGTTAGGACAGCGGGGGGCGACTCAGAGCAATTTTCGATTGTTATGGGGTTACACCATATTTAAGGGGAGGTGCCATGGTGTATGTTATTCGCTGATGATATAGTTCTGATTGATGAGACGCGAGGCGGTGTTAATGAGAGGTTGGAAGTCTGGAGACGGTCCCTTGAGTCTAAAGGTTTCAAGCTGAGCAGGACTAAGACAGAATACGTGGAGTGCAAGTTCAGCGGCTTGTCGGGAAAAGAGGACATGGACGTGAGGCTTGCCTCTCAAGTCATCCCCAAGAAAGGGAGCTTCAAGTACCTGGGGTCGGTTATCCAGGGGATGGGGAGATTGACGAGGATGTCACGCACCGTATAGGGGTGGGGTGGATGAAATGGAGGCTAGCGTTTGGCGTCTTGTGTGACAGGAAGGTACCTCCGGGACTTAAAGGTAAGTTCTATAGAGAGGTGGTTAGGCCGGCCATGTTGTATGGTGCAGAGTGTTGGCCAGTCAAGAATTTCCATATTCAGAAGATGAAAGTTGCATAAATGAAGATGCTGAGATGGATGTGCGGGCACACTAGGCTGGATAAGATTAGGAATGAAGATATCCGGGTGAAGGTGGGTATGGCTCCCATGGAAGACAAGATGCGGGAAGCTAAGCTTAGATGGTTCGGGCGCGTGCAGAGGAGAAGCCTGGATGCCCCGGTAAGGAGGTGTGAACGGCTGGCCTTGACGGGTATGAGAAGAGGTAGAGGGCGGCCTAACAAATATTGGGGAGAGGTGATCAGGCAGGACATGATGCGGCTGCAGATTTCCGAGGACATGGTCCTTGATAGGAAGTTGTGGAGGTCGAGCTTTAGGGTTGTAGGTTAGGAGATAGGAGGCTAGTCTGATAGTGTTTTGTTTTAGGCTGCTAGTGGCTCCAGTTGTGTCCTTAGTACTTCATTAGGGTTGTAGGTTAGGTTGTATGAAGCTAGTCTGGTAGTGTTTTATCTTAGTGGCTCTTGTTGTGTCCATATTATTCCATCGTGTCTGTAGTACTGTGCCATTGTTACTGCTTAGTGTTATTACTTTTCTCTCGATTTTCTGGTTATCACGTTGTTGGTGTTATCTTCCTGGATTCCTTTGTTGTTACTACTACACTGTCTCATTTCATCTTTTTGTGCCGAGGGTCTATCGGAAACAGCCTCTCTACTCCTCCGGAGTAGGGGTAAGGTCTGCGTACACACTACCCTCCCCAAACCCCACTTGTGGGATTTCACTGGGTTGTTGTTTTTGTTGTTATGGGTATGGCTTATTTAACTCAGTGTTCAAAGGAAACACATTATTGAGACTGATAAGGCTAACAGAATTAGTTTATCCACGCAGATTTTGATCTTGAACAAAGTTCAATTAGTTCGCAAGCAAGGGACATGCCAAACACTACCTTTCCAACTAAATCCAAGGCGAGGACCCTTTAATTGAAAATGCGTTCCATCGTCAGCAAGTGGCGGCCGACAAGGACCCTTTCCCTAAATATCTTGGGAAGCGAAGAGGACAAATTTGAAACTCATTCAGTAATCTTCTCCTGAAGGTAGGTGCTTACTGTAAGCTAAGTTACTCCGACTCAGGTGTGGGTGTCTCGTATCTAGAAGTCAGATCCTTCATGATCTAAATTTTAAGATTTGGGGGTACAGATTCAGGTGCGGATAAGGGTGCGAGCATTCGGGTAAAAATAATTCAAATGTCTAAAAATAAAGTTATAAAAATATGTCTAAATTATGAGACATCATGCGGAAAACTTATAAATTATTCCTAGAAGATATTGATCAAGAGGAGAATTCGAGAAAGAGATAAAAGAAAATGGACTGACATAGAAATCTCCATACACAAGGTATTCAATTTTCTTCAATTTCACTCTAGCTTTGTTTTGATTTCAGAAATCATTGTATATGTCCTAAATTTCTCCGTCGATTTTTTATCAAAGTACTCAAAATCGGTTGACCAGATCTGATACAGATCCCACACCCACACCCACATCGTGTCGACACGGGTGCGCCACCGAAAGTGAAGAGTCCGAGCTAGAGTGTAAGGCATTATAAGAATGAGCTTTTTTTAGCATAGCCTTGGAATACATTGTTCCCACTGCTGGTTATACAGCAAATTACATTTATCTCATGATATATTCGCTTCTACTTTTGTTGAATTTTTTGGTGTCTTTGAAGCTACAATATGATATGGGAACCGGCGCAGCTTGAGGCCTTATATCCATTGTTGGCACCATAAATTCTACAATAGATCGAGAAATCTTATATTAACTGCACGGGAATTGGCTTTAGTATCCTTATTACCCAATTAGCCTTATTAGATATTCTTATGCTAGTAGGAAATTTAGAGAACTTCTTATATTTCCATTTTTATTTTTATTTTGTATAATATTTGACCTGAGATCAATTTAAATGGGGAACATGACCCCAACTCATTTGGCATAGTTGTTGTTGTATTCTTAATTGTCCTATTAATATTCCAAGTAACTGGGTTTCTGGCTTCCTGCAACTGCACAACATACCACACAGAAAAAAGAACTACATGATTATTTCCACTTTTAAAAGATAGAGTCGAAGTGTAGACATAAACAGTACAGACTGATTTTGACTTTTTGCAGCAAGTGAAGGCAGAGATGAGCGTATCTTACTTCCAGAGACAAGAGAGATGTTGTATTGTAGCTTCCAATCATTTTTTAGATCCAATAATTCAGCTATTCCTCCTATCTTAAAGACGAGTCACATGAGAGAATGGGGGATTTAAAGGAGAATGGGAGAGAGAAGAAAGGTCTGGCAAATGCTACATCTGAGGCAATGCACTAATAAAGTCACATAATTAACTGCTTGCAAGAGAATAGAATATGCATATTCAACAGGTTTAAAAGGGTAGATTTCTTAAGAGGGTGTTTCAAGAAATACCTAAGGTGATATTGCAGGTCAAGTTCATGCAAATGCGAAAAGACCTGCATACATTAGGGCATGTTATGTACATCGGCATATTAAAATGGAAGAATTAAGTTCAGTCAAAATGTGAATTAATCAAAACGCATGCAAAGCCCAAAGACAACTGAAAATGCGAACTATCAACATTGACTGATGTCAGATGGAAGGTGAGCATAATATTTAGCTGAACATACTAGATGGTGACTCATCAAAGGAGACACCATCTTTTTAATATAGTAATTAAACGCAATCTGGAGTTTGTACAAGGAACTTGGACATATTCAGAATTATTTTCAAAGCAGTGGTGTCCAGCAAGCAATGGATACTTCAACTGCATTTTTGACACAAACATCCAATATGAACGGTCTCTAACAGACAGTGACATAGACCAAGATTCACCTTTCATTGAGAACAAAAGAGCCCAACTTTGGACAAATGTGTGAGATATTATTGTGATAGCAGTTCATTGATAGAGCCCATTGTAGACACAGACAATGCAGTGCAAGCACCTTAGTATCTCACACATCTGTCCAAGATAATAGTGTAGACTCCATCTTCCAATAAGCATATCATCTACATTTAGTTTGAATCTTGGGTCATTACCCCCATGAATTTACCCTCCATTCCTTCGGAATTCTCTTAAGTTCACGAAATGATGTGGTTCCCATCATTGATGACTAATCTAAAAAGACCCATAGGAAAAAAAAGCTGGCAAAACAAACTCTGCTCTGTACCTTCCGTGAAACAGACCGGATAGTGCGGAGCGCCACCTTTGAGAAAATTGCAGTTCGCAATTCTGCAAAACAAAAGAATGATAAAGGCATTTAGAAAAATAAATAAAGAGCAAAAAAGTAAAGGACTTGCTGATGAGGAAAAGGAAATAAATGTCTATCATCCATTTATGCGCGAAAAAGAATATCTTTTACTGAAAAGAAAGAACAAAAATCTAGTAACTCTGAAACTCAAGACAAGCACAAGCAATTACTTCATAGGTGTGAAGTACCGTTGAAAGCAGATGCCCCTGATCGTGCAATACCATATCCAATCAAAACCGCGGCAGGACTAACAAAAAGAGCTAAAGCAGTAGAGTTGGCAGTAGTAAACTCAGCAAGAGCATTAGCATTGCCAGTTGCTGTTGTCAACCAATCAACAGCAAGCTTAAACAAGAATGGCACTTGAACATTCACAACCTGTGGCATAAAAATGCACAAAAGTCACCACTGTGCATTGAATCAAAATCCACCTTTGCATATAACACACATTTTTTAGCTATGTCCACATAATGCCCTTTCTAAATAAACAAATAAAAAACACGACTACAAGAAAAAAAAAAAAAACTGCTCTCACCTTTGCACCAACAAGTAAAGTCAAGGCAGCAATGACCCGGAAGCGGAACTCATAATTATCCTTCATCCACAAGTATTTCGCCAGAGTGCTAATAATTTTCGCATCAGATATTTGATCACTTTTTGCCGCAATCCCAGTTTCATCTTTCTTCACTACAGGCTTTTTGCCATCACTTGAAGATGTTGAAAACATAGCATGTCCATTTGGCATCCCATCCTTTTAACCCCCAAAAAAAAAATAGTCAACGATCAACACAAACAACAAAAAAAGAGACCACAGTTAAAACTAAAAGTAAAGCTTACAGGGTCATTAGGGTTTTTGGCAGGGAAATCAGAAACGAAAGCCTTGATTTGTCTGAAGCCAGTAGAAGATGTTCTAGAAGAATCCCACAGGTTTCTATTAGTTGAAAGATATCTTGTACTGATGCGATATTGATGATGGAGATAATTTCTGGGTTTTAGTGCTTGTGAATGTAAAGAAGGGCGAGAAGGGATGTAATTCAAAATCATGGTTTCTGCTTTTTGGAGCAAGAATTCCCCTGCCCTACTAAAACACCTCGAACAAATACTCCCCTGCATTTTTGTACTATAACTATCTTATTATAAGATGAGAGCCTAGCTCAGGAGTTGAAGAAGATAAGAAGTATGTGACTCTCCGATTATTGCTAAGATGAAAAGTCGCCGCCGTCACGACACGGCTGAGGTGAGGGTGGCAACCGGCAAGCGTTAGTTACGGTGGCCTTTAATATTTTTTACTCCATTTGATTAGATTCTAGACTACTTGTGTCGATTGGCCATTTTTTGAAATTTTTTATGTTCTGTCCAAATATAGCTAGCTGTTCTTTTTTTTTCAAAGTTTATTTTTAATTTGCCCACTCCCTCCCGTCTATTTTAATTGATTTTTTTTATTATTTTCACACATATTAAAGAATTTATTTTTTAATATTAATTAATAATAAAATTAATCATATTAATTTTAATTTATTTATTAAAAATATAACAAATACTCCTAGGCTTTTTACTCCAAGAATAATTTGAAAAAAAAAATTAATTTCTTCTTAATATCTAAAAAGATAAATATTATGGATCACAAAAAAAAGACTAAAAATTCAATTAAAGTGGACAAGACGAAGCATTAGTTTTTGTTACCATAAATTACAGCAAATTGAATTGAGTAGTAGTTGTGCATCAATCGCGTCTCACAAAAATGCAAAATTTTCTAAAGTATAGCACGGTTATGCATATATAAAATATGAAAAATATATTGACAGCCTCAAATTTTCACATTATGATTTAGTTCTCGTAAAAAGTGAACATAGCACAGCATGTAAGGACATAAGTGTCTAATTATGACCATTGTTAATTTAAAAATAAAAAGATATAAAGACAAAAAAAAAATCAAAATATAGCGACAGAAGTAAAGTGTACACATAAAGTTCTTAATACATAGAAGATGGACGCCAGAAAGGTAAAACTTAGAGGCGGAGCTAGGAATTAATATTTGAACCTTATGAGTTCGAAATTATAATCTTTTTAAGTTATTGGGTTCTAAATTAATAATTTATATATATTGATTAGATTTCTTAATACAAATATAGAATTTGAATAAATATTACTGGGTTCGGCCGAACCCACAACTAACCATGTAGCTCCGCCCCTGGTAAAATGTGCTCTGAAGGTTGGGTCTGATGTATAAAATAATTTATAAATCTAAGAAGAAGGGTTTTATAAGTGTTTAAAATATAATGTGATTGAAAAAAGTAGCTTTACTACATTATTGAAGATATTGATGAGCTCAAAGGGAGCAAAAGCAAATGTGAATCACAAGAAATATGCAAGATACTAAAAATTAATATCGAGATTAAAAATTTATAAGGAAAATGAAAGTATGAACTCTAAAAGATACTAGGATTGTGGAGACTAATGTGTAATTAAAAGAGCAAACTAGGATAACCGTAAAGCACCTCATTTGATGGATGTTCTCCTGCACAGATTGACAGGCACCTTCCGTTAGATAAAAGATTGATAGAAATCTTGATCTCGTTTTAATTTTATTATAATTAGTCTTAGAATATACGTTTTGCACGTGTACCTTATATCAATGAGTACACAACTGTAAAAAAAATCGCATAAATAAAGAGGTATTATAAGTTCTTTAAATGATTAATGTTGATTCCATGGCTCAACAAAAGAAAAAATGTTGTTCCATATAAGTGAGATGAAATATTCTGATTTTCGAGAACTTCTGTAGGAATAATTTATGAAAATTATTGTTATTTTTGCGAAATATGAAACAAAAAAATAACGCAAAAGTACTTCTATCATAATTTTCAAATATGGGTTAATTTCATAGAACCTCCCGTAGCACTAACTTCCCTTGTAGTTTACGATATTATGGTTACCTCCTTTGTTGAATTTTTTTTTTGTAACAATTCTTTTAACATATTTGTCATTAATAAAATGAATTATGAACTGACTAATTTGCCCTTTTAATATAGGAAAATTACATCAGATATCACTAGGGCCTACAACCCATCCGAAAATGACCCACATTTGAAGCCCTAATTTGGTTTGACCCAAGTTGTATATATTTTGAAATTTTAATTTTCACTCGTTAGTCGACATTTATTATTAATTGTATTTCAGTTTTCTTTTTAAATTTCGCTTTTTCTCTCTGTCCTTCTCACGCTTTCTACACAGAAACACGAAGAAAATCGTCCTCCATTATTGTGTCTCCCTTAATTTTTCGAGCTTTCACTCTTATTTTCAGGTAATATTTCATTTCATTTTATGATTTTACCATTGTTTTGGTTTTGAATTTATTTTAATTTTATTTTTTGGTTTTGAATTTTTTTTTACAATGTGGTTGTGTTTTCCTTTCGATTTTGTGTTCCTTCTATTTTCGTTCTCAGTTTAAACTTAGTGTTTCAATTTGCATGCTTTTTTATTTCAATTTTTAGGGTATAATTTTTTTTTGAGTTTTGTTACAATGTGGGTTTTGATTTTGGGTAACCCTTTTCTCCACCTTTTAAAGCTTTGTGCGGTAAATTTGCTTCTGTTATGTATTCATGGCCTTTGTTTTTGGTTTGATTTTTGCATTTTTTTCACTTTTCTTCACTCTTGTTAAAGCTTTGTTTGTTTTATACCAGAAAATGTGTCCGAGAATGTCTGCTTCTAAAAGTCATTCGAAGGTTGCTGGAAAAGGAGTTAAGATTGATTTTGCAAAAACATTGAGAGACTTGCCCTCAACCCCTGATTCTGAAGCAGATGGGCATGTCCCGTCCCCCGATGATGATGATTTTGAGTCTCCTGCTCCTACAAAAAAAGTCGCAACAAGAAAGCAGTCGAATGACCGGTTCGCAGACGAAGAATACTGCTACTCCAGTTTTGTCACGACCCAAAACTAACCTATCGTGATGGCGCCTATCATGGTACTAGGCAAGCCGACTATGCAGACATTTCCAACACTCTAAAGCTTTAAAAGATACGGAAGTAGTTAAAATTAAGGAAAACCCTTTTTAAAAATAGAGTACGAAATCATAATTCAAAACAAAATCTCTCCCAAAAACCGGGGTATCACCGAGTACATGAGTATCTACATAAAGACATAGTCTAATACACCGTCTAAGAAATAAAACTGAAACATAAAATGAAAGATAAGGAGGGAGAGTCAAGGTCTGCGAATGCCAAGCAGCTATCTCGATAGTCTCCGAAAATCCGGACTCCACAACTCAGCAGTCGCCGTGACCGGAAGAATCTGGATTTGCACACGAGGTGCAGGGTGTAGCGTGAGTACAACTAACTCAATAAGTAACAAATCTAACCTTTGGACTGAAAGGTAGTGACGAACTCAGCAGGTACAGTTCAATATAGAAATGACAGTACAGAAATGTAGGCATGCTTTCAAGTTCAACAGTTAAACTCAATTCAAGTAAAATAGATCAATCTTAAGTGATACGAGTAGTATGACCTCTCTACATCTACATGCCAATGCACATGTTGTATGCGATGCACCACGCTGAAAGCCTCGTGTACTCACACTCTCAGAATACTCAATCACTCAGTACTATATATGGCCAATCCAGCTCAGGGAAGATCCATCCCATATATATATACACATACACACATCAACTAACAGTCAGTCGCTCAGTATTGTATAAGGCCAGTCCAGCCAGGGGGAAGATCCATCCCCAAATATAAATAATTCGGACAAGATCCATGTCCAGGGAAGATCCATCCCTCAATATAATCAATTGCGCTCACTGGAGGTGTGTACAGACTCCTGAGGGGCTCCTTCAACTCAAGCGCTATAATAAGACACATCCAGGCATAAATCAATAAAACATATTGCGGCATGCATCCCGATCCTATAACTGTCACTCTCAATTAGGCCCTCGACCTCACTCAATCATCAGCCTCTCCATTCTCTCTTTCTCAGGGCTCACAATGTCATGAAACTAGCCCAAAAATTATGATATGATATAGAAATAAATAGCTACAGAGATTGAGATATGATATGTAATGAATAAATATGACTGAGTACAAAATTTCAACGTAATCAATAAGTCGACAGCAAGAAACGACCACTATAGGTCCCAACAGTACCAACATATAGCCTAAATATGATTTCTAGCATGATTGACAGCTCAATTACTTATCACATGATGAAAACACGGATATCAACAAGATAAATCCACTATACAGTTCCATGGAATCAACCAGGTCACAGTTCTTACGGTGCACGTCCACACACCCATCACTTGGCATGTGCGTCACCTCAACACCTATCATATAACACATAATTCGGGGTTTCAAATCCTCAAGGCCAAGTTTAGAAGTGTTACTTACCTCAATCCGAGCAAATCTCTACTCCAATATACCATTGCCTCGCGAAACGGCCTCCGAATGCCTCGAATCTAGCCACAAACAATATGATACAATCAACACGGGTAAATGAATCAATTCCATAAGAAAATACTAAGTTATTAATCAAAAGTCAAAAGTCGACTAAAAAACCGGCCCTCGGGTCCACATCTCGAAATCCCGATGAGAAAAAACCTGAAAGTCCATTCAACCACGAGTCTAACCATACCAAATTTACCAAAATTCGATACCAAATCACCACCCAAATACCCAAATCAAACACTCTAAATCTCTAACCTCAAACTCCCAAATTCCACCTTAAATACACACAAACTAGGTGGGAAAATCAATTTCGAAACACAATTATTGAATAAATTAAACCACAAGTGACTTAGCTCAAGAAATCCCCCAAAAATCCTCTCAAGAATCGCTAAATCCCGAGCTTGAAATGTTTAAAATGGTAAAAAATCTCGGAACCCTCGTTTATAAGATACTGCCCGGGCTTTTCGCACCTGCGGCCAAATGACCGCACATGCGGAATGGCTTTTGCGGTAAAATCCTTTGTTTCTGCGGAAATCACTTAAACCCCCAGGGCCCGCATCTGCGCTCCAGGTACCGCACCTGCGGAGGCGCTTCTGCGGCCTACCATCTGCTTCTGCGGAACAGACCTCGCCCCTCAACTCCGCATCTGCGGAGCCTTGCTCGCACCTGCGGGTTCGCAGATGCGGTTACCCCCTCGCACATGCGCCCTGCCCCATGCCAACCCAGCTCCACACCTGCGCATAACCAGATGCATCTGCTACATCACATGTGCGGAAGATCACCTCACACCTGCAACCTCTGCCCACATCTTTCCAGGCCACTTCTGTGATTCCATTCTCGCTTCTGCGAGCTCGCACCAGCGGTCGAAAATCCGCAGGTGCGATCGCACTAGACCTGGT